GATGGAAACCCTGACGACCTAGCGTATTTCACGGTTCGAGTCCAGAAATTTGTGGCACAGAGCGGTCATCTGTTCCCCGATGACAGCGGCAGAATCGATGTGATTGCAGCTCGGCTGAAAGGAGCAGCTGCCACTTGGTACGTGGGTCTACACTCAAACCGATGCCCCGAACTGTTTAACCTTAGGGCATTTATGTGGGCTCTCCGAGCCCGTTTTGAGGATGTCAACGCGAGCCAAAAGGCGAAGGGCTTCCTGCGCACCTTCAAGCAAGGCAAGCGTTCAGTCCGGGATTATACTACCGAGTTCCATAATCAGGCGGCCAAGCTGCGAGACTGCCCGGACCATATTTTGGCTGAGATGTATCGCCTGGGACTCAACCGAGAGAACGTCCTCCGCTCCGTGGATCCAGTTTCACTAATGGCGTGGATCCAGGAGGCTGAAAACGCGGAAAGCAGGCTGCAGACCATCCGCCTGGATCTCGCTTACAGGGGGGGCGGCCTTCCCAACCTCCGGCCGCTAAAACGAAACCAACTCGCCTGTCGGAGGCTGCCCGGGAACTGCGCATGAAGATGGGGCTCTGCTTACGATGCGGCGAAAAGGGGCATTTCGCAGCGGAGTGTACCGGGTCGACTCTTAAAGACAAGCAAGGCTACTCCTCCTCCGAAAAAGGGCACGGTGAAGCCACGGTTCTCCAAGGCGCTGTAAGCAGCCCCGGAAGAGGGCCAGGATGATTCCCCTGCTTCTGACACTGAACCGGCGGAAAACGAGCAAGTCCTGTTGTGAGTGGCGCACAGCAACAGGGCTCCGCTTCAGAGGCGCCTATTGTGGTGAGAGAACCCCCCTCCCTCTTTTTCGTGACTGTGTCCCTAATGAACCCTGTACTGGGCACCCATGTGCGGGTGAAAGCCTTGGTGGATTCGGGGTGCGGGAGGGACTTAATCAGCCCTAACGTGATTGCGGGACTGGAAGCGGGGATTAAACCTTTGAAATCCCCAATCATATTTACCCAGATGGATGGGGCACCAATGAAGCCCTGCTTGCATGAATCCATGCCCTTGCGCTTGGGTGTAGGGGACCATTGGGAAGAACGCCCTTTTATTGTTACACCGGACTCACAGTTTGCATTGGTGTTGGGGGCTCCCTGGTTGTTTTCACACAACCCATACATCCTCTGGGATGAGGGGAAGGTGGACTTTGTGTCTCCTAAATGCGGTTCTCACTTGTGGGTGGAGGCGTGGGGCGCAGCTCCATCAGTGACATTCCCTTGTGGGGTTCTGACGCCCGAAGAGCTGGATTCCCTCCCCCCGGATTATCATGATTTGGCTGAGGTGTTTGGGGAAACTGAAGCCGATGAACTGCCCCCCCACCGTAACTCTGATTGCAGCATAGAGTTACTACCAGGCTGCAAACTGCCGAAAGGAAAAATCTATGC